TGCTCTAGTGAGTCAGCCCTGCCTCACTGCCAAGAGGCAAATGGATTTACAGTTTATGTCAATTCCAGGAGTGACCACCAGATGGCAGCATCTGCCTAGTCAGAGTTGGCAAGTTCTTGCCCCCTGCCCCAATCCGCCCTACCTCACTCAGTAAACTGAGCTAGAGAGGAAATAATTTTGAGCATGTTGTTAGGTGCCATGAAATGGGTTCTGATTCATAACGACCCTGTGTGTAGCAGAACGAAACTACCCGGTCCTGAGCCATCTTTTCACCGTCATTGCTATATTTGAGCCCATTGTTGCAGCTATTGTGGCAATCTATCTCATTGAGGATGTTCCTCTTTCATTCTCTCTACTTTACTAGACAAGATGTCCTTCCCCAAGGACTGGTCCCTCCTGATAACCCGGCCGAAGTACATGAGATGATGTTTCCTCATCCCTGCTTCGAAGGCGCATTCTGGCTGTACTTGTTCCAAGACAGATTTGTTTGTTCCTTTGCCAATCTATGGTATATTCCGTATTCTTTGCCAACACCATAATTCAAAGGCATCAATCCTTCTGCAGTCTTCCTTGTTCTTTGTCCAGCTTTCACACCCACGCAAGGCAATTGAAAATATCATGGCTTAAGTCAGGCACACCTTAGCCCTCAAAGTGACATCTGTAATGCTTTAAAGAGGTCTTTTGTAGCAGATTGTCCCAATGCAAAACATCATTTGATTTCTTGACTGCTACTTTCTTGGGGGTTTATTGTGGATCCAACTAAAATGAAACTTTAATGTTTTCTCTATTTATGATGATACTGCTTGTTGGTGTAGTTGTGATAATTTTTATTTTCTTTATGTTGAGGTATAATCCATCTTGAATGCTGTAGTCTTTGAACTTCATCAGTAAGTGCTTCATGTTCTCTTCATTTTTAGCAAGTAAGATTGTGTCATCTTCATATGGCAGGTTATTAATGAATCTTCCTCCAATCCTGATGCCACATTCTTCTTCATATAGTCCAGCTTCTTGGATTATTTGCTCAGCACACAGATTGAATAAGAAGCGGAAGGATACAACCCTGATGCTTAACCTTCCTGATTTTAAAGTATGCAGTATCCACAGTATCCCCTTGTTGCATTCAAAAGACTGCCTCTTAGTCTATGAACAGGTTCTTCGGTAGCACAATGAAATGTTCTGGAATACCCATTCTTCACAATGTTATACATAATTTGTTATGATCCACACAGGCAAATGTCTTTGCATAGTCAATAAAACACAGATAGACATCTTTCTGGTGTTCTCAGCTGTGACCAAGAGTATAACTCTTAAGCATCAACGTCATTATTATCTTGAATATTTGGGGAGTGACGCGAGAGAAGTAGTAAAATATGATGGAAAAGAGCAATGTCTTTGGAGTCAGACAGGCCTGCATGCTTTCTTTAATTGGTTAACAAATGCAATGAGTGTTCTGAAAATGCATGGCAATGCTTTCTTTATTGTTGCTCTGAAGTATTTTTTAAAAAACCTGTATTAAATTTATGTTCTTTTTTCACTGCCTAGAGGTGACAGTACAGTGATCCAGCAAACAGAGAACACAGAGAGCTACCAACACGTAGTCTCGCCTGTGACGGGATTTGTATTCTATTCCTGTCTGTAGGCCTCTCTCCGATTCTACTGACTTTTCTTCTTTTCTGCCCCTTGCTTGCTCCAGTCACATAACGTTAAAACAGGCAAGGTCCACTTTATTCAAAACGATTATTATGAGGGAGGGGAGTGGAATAAGACAAAGAGGGAAGAGGCACCTCAGTATGTCAGTGGGGAGAGTCCAGCTCCTCACTCTGCCGGGACAAAGAACTGTGAGATTTTAAAAAGAATGTTAAAGAAGTTGATCACCAGATTGGGTGAATGATTTACTAGCTTGCAGTTAGGGCCATTTTGTTTGGAATGTTTTCTTTCCTGAAGATAAAGCCATTCACAAACTCCCTGCCATCGAGTCTGATCCGACTCATAGTGACCCCACCTTGGGTTTTGGAGGCGGTATCACAAC